CTGTGTGAATTGACAGCCCTGCTGGATGATAAATTAACAAGCCCTTATTCATTATTCAGCTTTGCGACAGTTTTTATAAAATACTCCTCAGTTTTATACCCCAGAGCCTTTTCCCATTTGTGCTCTACCTTGGAGACTCTTTGCCATCCTGAACGTGGAGTACAAGAAACCTCCATCACTCCAGGGCTGGTCTCAGGTGCCCAAGACCAGCCGGGGTGTTTCTCCACTGGCCCGCATTTCACATCCAGCAGGGCTGTACATGGTCAGCCTTCAGAATGGAACCCGCCGAAGTCCAGTTAGGAAATGGCATCGTATGTGCACTGCTACAGCCTGAATGTTCATTGGAGGGCACGACCCTGCCCATGAACCAAAGGTATCCTGCTTTTTAAGGAAGGCCAAGGCAAGCCCAGGAAGTGACACACCGCTGGAGTTCACCAGACTAACACCTCCCACTGTTGTGCAGCTGGAGTGGCACAGCTGCCACTGTGCAAAGCAACAAGAAGGTTCTCCTGACCTTAGTATGTTGGGGACAGGCCAGAGTAATTTATGTACCTAAAAATCCCATTTTATATCCCCTGGGAAGATGGTTGAACATTTTTGTTTGGTTTTTTTGTTTGTTTGTTTTTTTTTTTGTTTTGGGTTTTTTTTGGTTCTGCTAATGCTGTTTACAGCAAGTTGTGGGTCTGTGGGACTAATCTTACCTGTGCCTTGTGAACTATGGTGAGCCATGTGGTGTCTTGTTTACTGACTCCTAAAGTTGATCAGAAAAACACCCTGGTAATGTTTTGCAAGAGTTGATAAAACTGCCTAAGATTTTACTGGGAGCCCACGGAGAAGTCGGGATGGAGACAGAATGGTCACGGATGGAGTTTGGGCATAGGCTTTGAGATGCACTTCAGAGACAGCACTGCCACTGTAGCATTGTCTTCTGTCTGAGCAGTATGAGACTGTGTAGATAATTTCAGTCAAAAACCCTATTTACCCCTTCAAGGGAGATGGAGTCTGTTCCTTGACCTTTGCCAAGCCACCTTCAAGACCTTGAAATCTCTCTGCCACTGCAGGAACCTCATGGCCTTGCCGGGCCTCTTTTTGTAGGAATGACCTAAAATCTTGTCCTTCCTATACTCAAACCCCAAGATTTCTCCTCTTTCCTATCTCCCCCCCAGGGCTAGGAGGTCTTTAGCACAGGCCCAGTGAGATGTATGAGAAAGAAGCCTGGCAAATGGTTTAAATTAACAGCTATAGTGGTTGTGCCAACTCCTGCAGCAGGAGAGTGCCAAGATCCAGAATGTGGCTGCTCACCAGCATTTGGCAAGGCAGTGACATCTTGTCACTGCTATCCCTGAGCACTGAGGCCCACACAGGTACACCGACCAGTTGGCTGGGGCAGGATGCAAGGCAGGGTGGGAAAGCAGAGGGAAGACTGCCAAACTTCTCCCAGGGAAAGTCACAGCCATGATTCTTCAAAATCATCTGCTCCAATGTGACATTACTCCTGACTGCAAACAGAATCGAGTCTCCAAAGCTGTTTACCAGTTACACTGATGTGGGTTCAATCTTCCCTATCTGGGTAGCCAAGTCTGCACTGGTAAATAAAGAGTGAGTACATAAACTCTTAGCAAAGGAGAAAACCATCCACTTTCAGTAAAGCTTGATCCTGCCACAGAAGGCTGTGAGAGAGCTTTGGACCTAAGTGCTGACTGTTGGGAAGGTGCCTAGAGCTAGAGAGAAAAAAATCCCCAACATATAAAAAGGAAGTCTGTTTTTACATTTAATTCCTCCTGGGTCCAGAGAAGCAGGGGTTTATATTTTCATTATAAATAAGCTAGAAAGCATCTACATAGTGGAATCCATATTCCCAGTTGGGAAGAACCTGCAGGTCAACTATGGTCAACTTTCCCTTTGAAAGCACTACCATTACTGAGTCCTTTTGTTGTAGCCACATTATTCACAGCTCAGTGCCACTCTGCTGCCTTCTTTCACCCACAGGGATGCCCAGACCTTTGATTTCAGAGACTGCTGCAGGGCATCAGAGTTCTCCATCCAGAAGATCATGAAGATACTTCGTACTGATGCTCCTTTCCCTGTCTGAAAATTTTTTCCACTGCCAAAGTCTTCCAAGCCCTTTGAATGTTTCCCCTTTTCTAGGAAACACACAAGTCCTGTGCTACTGTGTAGTTGCTGGAAACATCACAACTGTCTGCAGCTTTTACACAGGTGAGAATTCACTGCAATTTCCTACAGGAGTTGAAGTTTGGTGTTGTGGCACAGCTTTCTCCTGAGGTGGATGTTAAGTTTGGCAAAAGGCTGGCTGATTGCAAAGTGATGTTGCCCATTGACCCAGTATGGTAACTGCATATCAAAAATACATTTGAATAAAGAGGTTCAAGAGACATTTTATTAGAGCAGCCACATAAAAGTTAAAAGTCATGTTTCTCTGCAGGACACAGTCCAAGCCTTCTATACAGCAGCCATCAAAGTGGTATTTTTTCTGCCTTTGCCCATAACTCTCCAGCAAAAATAAAACTGCAGGTATGTTTCCACAGGAGAACCTTTATCTTCTGCCATTTCCAAACTAAGTGGCTGGAATCAGTTATGTAAGAAAAAGGAAATTTGAATTTTATTTTGCAAGTACAAACTTAAACCAAGTGAACTGTTATTTGTATTTTATTTGCTCTGTAAAAGCCTAGGCGTACAAAGAACTTTTTACTGGATATAAAACCCCACATTTTCTTTTCAGGTGTCCAAAGAAACACTAGTTTAGCTGAAAATAAATATAAAACCTGCAAAATACCTTAATTTAGTTTTGCTAAGAATTATAAGAAGGATGGGGGTGAAGGGTGGACTAGTTCCTCTTCATTTCAAGCTTGTTGCTTTAATTCCATGTTGCATATGAAGCAACAAACAAAAACTCTATGGAATGTAAAAAGTTCCTATGCCTACAAAAGCCTTAACAATACCACACTGAGCTGAAGAACAACGGCACTAACATGAAAGGATTTTCATTTCTAAGAAATACCTGGCTACATTGGAGTTCAGGAATACATGCATTCCATGCCCTTCTGCAGGGCTGATTTCCAGCAGCACAGACCTACTAACCCAAAATGAGCTTCCTCCCTGGGAGTCTGAGCTGCAGCAGCACAGGGCACTCCAGGTGAGACAGTGGGATGGAGACGGGGTGGTAACTTGGGTCTGGGTGAAAGAGGAGAATCTGCATTTAATAGCACAGACTAAGTATTATGCTACGTTTAAAATACTGTTCCCAGCTCACAGTGACAAACTGCACTCTCCGCTAACCACAAGTTTTGTACAAAATTCTGAGAAAATTCTCCATTCAGAAAATGGTAAACTCCCTTTTTCATACTCGCAGTACATTAAGGTACAAACAAAATTGCTGCTTCCCAGGTTCTTTATCACTGCATCTTTCTTAGACTTGTATCCTAAAGGTTCATTTTTCCAAATGGCATAATTTTGGCAGAGGTTGAGGTCAGCGCACTCCCAGATTGCATACTGCCTATCCCTCCTGTAGTATTACAGGGATATGTAGATGTTCAGCACCTTGAAATCCAGGCTTGCTATTCAGCTAAAACAAATGTGCAGAGCATGAACATTACAATTATCAGAAAATTAAAAAAATCTGTCTGCATTCAAAGCAAAAATAAAACCGGGAAATTTCGAAATTTCCTGAGGTGCTCTTTTTGATCAACTGGAACTTCGGCTTCCATTCAATTTAGGCATTTCTTCTGTAGTACAATGCAAAATACAAACTACATTGTGAATAATACAAAAGCATTTTTTCCAGATGGGAATGCCGGAACACATCTATTGGGTTTTTTTCTCAAGTATATTTTTTAGCAAGTATGATTTTCTGAAGCAGTTAATAATCAGTGGAGCTGTATTCTCCAATAGAAAGAGGGCTGCTTTTTTCCTACTAGAAATTACATATTCCTATAATTTTCACATTTTAGAGTTCTGTAGTTCTACTTGAACCTTCCTGTTCTTTTTTAGAAAAAATTCAAGAAAGCCCTTTATAATAATTCCTCGTGGAAATGCCTACTCATGGTAAACCACCTAACTCAGGTCCAGTCTAGGCTAAATTGTTGCTGTATATTTTTTCATGTATTTGTGTACTTATGCAAGTCTGAATTAAAATACATGTTTTGATGGAAGAGAAAGCACACATGAAACCACAATCTAAAAACTCATCAGCTCTGTGGAGATGCTGAAAAGGCAAAGTTCACTCGTGTCACAGTAAAGGAACAGACGGTGTGAAGAAGTGATCAGATGGAAGGTTTGAAATGAAGGGGGGGAAAAAGGAAGTTTTCCTACAGAAAGAATAATTAAACTGAACTCATTGTGAACAGACACAAGAGGGTAAATGAACTATACACAGCTGGGAATCCAGACATACATTCAGCTTGAAAAAGCTGCCTCAGAAGTCGGGAAATTCAAAGGTAGGTGTCTCACAACAGAGTTTTTTAGGCACCTTCCCCAAAAAGATGGATACTCAAAAGAGCTAGATACTCCTTAACATGCATTTTTGTTAATAATCTGCTCAATCTAAACTATAAAACGTGCTGTGCAACATGACTGAACGAATATCGCTGTGAGAAATATTTCCCCCATGTTTGAGTAATTTGAATTTGTAAGCTAATGTAAGTTTTTGTATTAAATAATGTTCTGTGTGCAATTTTCTTTCTTGTAAAGCACTTTGAAGCTTTCAAAGGGCACTCTAGGTTCATAAATAATATGGTATTCTTTGCCAGAACTGTAGGGCATTTTCCATAAATCCCGAATCTTCTTTGCCAGAATTGCAACATGTTGCATGCCAAATCCTGCACACAAATGTTCTACATGTGGCAAATACATATTGGTAAAGACCAGAGGCATGGCATTCCTGGATTTCTTAGAGAGAGTGGGGGCAGGGAAAGAAGTGGGAAGGAATAACAAGGGAGGGAAGAGAGAAAAAATGTCTGTACATCATTTAAAAAAAAAAAACAACAACGAAAAAACCCCCACACACCCACCCCAAACAACCCATAACCAGCACTTAATTATTTTCAAAAGCTAAACTATTTGCTGCATGTAGCACAAACTCACAGGTACCCAGAACTGGGTCTTTAGTTTACCTTCAGTTATGGAAATCAGGCCTCTTTTTCTGAGATGGGTGTAGATTTTTCAAACCCAGATGTTTGTAAAGGCCAGAACACCTGCAATCCCTGCTCCTCCCAGAACATGCCAATGGAAACAGAGTGTCTGCGACCCTGGAGCAGCAGAGTCAGGACTGCCACCACTTCACAGGCTGTGACCATGAATCCCCTTCTTCAGGCAAAGAGGTGAATACATTTCTTATGCCCACGGCTACAGGGAATAAACCAAGGCCAATGTCTATAAAGTGAACTCTCGCCTCTCCACAGCCTCCCCCAGGGACCAAACCACGCTCCTACTGCTGGAGCTTGGAAGAGAAGGGGTGTAAAGCAGCAAGACCCAGAAATTCAATCAGTGCATTTGGCCACATATCACACAGGTTAGATTACTGAAGGGTACTTGGAGTTTAATGTGTCTTTGGTTAAGCATGAACAAAAATGTCACTAAATTTTAAGAAAATGGTGACAAAAATTCTTAATCACTCAGCAACAACCAGCTAGTTTTAAAGGTACCAGAAACTACTTAGACCTAATCAGGTGTTAAGCACCAAGAGTTGCTAAAGGTTTACAAACTGAAGTTAAAACTGAACTCCACCTTCTGCAACACTAAATGAACGTTTTACTACCTGGTTTCTTTTGAGGTGGCAAGAAATGACTGTAAAACCATTGCTGTTGCCAGAACTACATTGCTTAGAGAAAAATATCCTGTGGGTTACCATTTGTTGCCACGATTTACAAAGATATGGTCTATAGTCTGTATCAGTTTCATGTGGAAGTTTTAAAGGGAAAAAGCCTTCTGCAGAGTTTGCAGATTTCTGCATAAGTGTCTGTGTTGTTGCAAAGAGGACCAAGTGGTGCTGTCTCACAAGCTTTTCAAGAAAGCTGGCACATTTCTTCAGATTCATCTCCTGCAAGGTAAGACTCTCCCCTCCGTTGCTTCTGTCTATCCAATAAAAAGCTGATATACTGTCTAAAAGCAGAACACAGAGCGAGGGGTGAGCGCAAAACAGGTTTTCTAAAGAGTAGAGAGTGAGCAGTAACTGAGTGCTGCTATTGCAGTTCACAAGGAAAAGCCTTCCCAGGCACTGCTTTATCATTTCCTCCGTCCTTTGTGCCAGCCTGTTCTCCAGAATGGTAACCAGGCGGAGCATGTCGAAGTGGTAGTCTGTGTCAATGAACATGACTTCCACTTCCAGCCCTCCTCCTGACTTTGGAATGATGCAGCGGGCTATGAGGTGATAGAGCATTTCCGTTTTTCCTGTTCCTTCTGCCCCGTGGAATTCAATGATGTCTCCTGTGCAAAAACAAGGTAAGCACATTATCAGGTAAGAGCACTTATAGCCCAGGGTCACTTCTCAGTGTTTACTGAACCAATACTTGCTATTCCACAAATTGGAACGTGCATTTTGGAAAGCTTGATATGCATTAAAAATGTTTAAATCCTGGTTAGCATCTACAAAGAGACATTTCAATTTTCAAGAAAGGCCTCTAAAGTCGAAAAAATCAGCTGGGAACAAAGGCTGAAAACCTCTGCCAATAGCACCTAGGACACCAGTATCAGTGAAAGGTTGGCAACTGGATTTCATTGGTACCATCACAGGTCGATGAAAGCAGAGGAGGAAGATGTTATACAGAAGTGGCTAAGAAACCATCTACATTATGCACACACAAGCAAGGAATAAATTAAAAAGGACAAGCAAAACATAACAAAATTGATATATCAGAGGTCCAAATCATGTTGGCACATCTATTTTCACAGCACAGCCTGTCCTTCAGCATTTCATGTCTTCTATAAGCTTGTTCAGTACCTGCACATGTCACAAGATACCCACAGGAATCTGTGACTGGTGAAGAGAACACCAGTAGGTTTATTTAGCACTTATATTCTTCTGTGCTGATCATAATATGAAACTGCTTTTTTTGACAAAGGGGACTCGGATTCCTTCAACTCCAGGCAACACCTCTGTCTGAAGAAAAGGATCTCCGTTCATAAAAGGATTCAGCCCAATTGCCTCATCCATGTGGGTCAGTAAAATACATATCACATAAATTTAAAATGTTAATTAAAACCAGCATTCCACTTCATTAGGAAACCAGTTCTTTTGTTGGATGTGAATGCAAGCTTTTTTTTTAAGTCTTATCCAAAGTCTCCTGATGTCTTGAGCCAGAATCTAAAAAACGTTAATTTATTAGTCGTGTTTTATAAATTCTTAATTTTGGGAACTGGATTATTTATTTATGACATTTTGGATTTTAGGTAGAAGGGTAAATACGTGCAGTAAGGAGAGTCACACAACTGTAATTGTAGGAAGGTGAGAGATTTCCATGGCCTTGGCAAGTGCAAATGGCATAACAGCTTTTCATAGGGAGATGTGAGAGTAGAGAATTAATTGCAACTTTCCTTAAACGTGTTTGTGCCTGCCCGAGTTAACAGGGTTTTTCAAGTCACTGCTCAACTTCCAGAGGATGTCCTTGTTCACAAGTGTGTATAATGCCAAGATGCAGCTCAGGATGAGGGGCAGAGGGTGGTGGGGAAGAAACCAAGCTCTTACTTCACCCTTTGCAAGCATTAAAAGCAATTTACACCTGATGTGACAAGTCTGCCCATTTCCGTGGCACTCACACTGCCCGCCTCTCCATAATGGGATTCCTGCTGCTCCACGACTGCAATTCCATTTCTATGAATTTCTGATACTTCAAAATTTATTTAAAAGCTTGACTGTCTCCCAAACCTTTACTTAGCTGTTTCAAATGGCTCACCCACTTTTGAGATGAAAGACCACTACATTTGCTGGGACACAAATCTTCATTTTCTCTTCCTGTCCAGGGGTCAAATGTCCAACTCTGGCACTTGCAGCCAGTGGCTGCTCTGCTGTCACACAGCCTGTGCCAGCGACCTAACCACGCCCTGGTGGGGTAAGACAGCAGCTTGGGAGAACTCTTTCTAAATGTCCTGGTAGGTCATTCCCTCATATTTCATCTATTGAAATATTTTAGAGCAATTGTGCAAGGCACCTCTTGTTAAGGTACAAAGTGTATCTTCTGTCTGCCACTGGCTTTGTGCCACCCTGACTGGCATTTCTGAATCCACACCAGTAAGTGAATGGGGCCAACATGTAATACAGGTGCCTCACCTGCCTTTACAGCAAAATATGACCTATTTGATTCAAAAAGTTATTCTGGGAAATAAATGCTCCACTTTTTCCATTTGAAGATGCTCTAACAGGATGTCTGTGTGCTACAGAATAACACTGGATGAGATTTTGTTATTGGCAGAACTACTAAACTTACTTAAGTAAAAATTCTAAAAATTGAATGATAAAAATCAGTCTGAGAAGTTTTTGTGGTGGTGGTTTATAAATGTTGACAGCAAGACAGCCAAGCACCCCTCAAAGTTTGTTCAACATTGCTGAAAAAGATAGACAGCTGCACTGTAGTTTGACCAAGACACTGGAGTTACTTTGAAAAGAGTAACAGCTTGGACTGCAAGAAAACCTCAAGAGGGCTGGGGATTTCTGTGCCTTCCTGATTATCCCAGAGGTTGCCCACAAGAAGAATGGGTGCAAAATAGAAGCCATTTATAGCAACATCTATAAATGTAGGGTTTCAATGAATTAGCAACCAGGCTGTTAGAGTAAGATAAGAGGGGAAATTCATTCCTCTGGATCAGAGAGGACAAACCATGACACAGCAGAGGAGGAAGTGAGGCCAGCAATGTTTTCAAGAAGCCTCTGACACCCTCACAATAGGTCACAGAAGAAACTGAGTGATCAATGCTAGCATGAGCCATTAACGTCAAAATAACTTTGAAAGGAGGATTAGTAAAAAGACACTGTCACAGGATGAGAACAGGCTGAGAGGGAGAGGAGGAACAGACACTTTAAACATGGAAGAAGGTTAATGGGAATTTTTTCTATTAGAACAGGTGTTGGCAGACGTTAAACATATCAGTAGATGAACGTTCCATTAGCTTGGCAAAACATGTAGAAGACAAACTAATTGGGTTAATAAAGACTTAAGTTTGCGAAGACTTAACAGATGGAGATGGATAAGCAGAGTGATTTCATATGAAATTCAGCAGTGATGAATTCAAGAAGTAGATTTTAAGGAGTCACCCAACACATTGCTTGGCTCATGGTAGCTTGAACTGGCCCACGATGGGCAGACTAAAGAGAACAAAAGTCCACTGCTATGAACCAGCATGCAGGGTAAGCTAAATGATGCTGCATAAATGTAAATATTTACACAACATTAATATATTTTTAACTGAAACTTTGTGCTCAGTCCTGGTCATCGATTCGGTGTTACCTTTTGAATGAGAGGAGCCTTGTTTCTGTCTGCAATCATTCCACCATCAAATGCTGGCTAAACTATTCTCTGACACCGCAGTTCCACACAGGCTGTTGGAATACTCAGCAATAACTATGGATTTCACATCATCCCATACCTTGAAGTTACTGGGCTGGTGATTTACAGCAGTGTGCAGAAGCTGTCGCTAATATTTATACCATTTATAAGTGAAGTAGAAGGGCCCAATATTTATTCCAAGTTAATGTTGGGTGTCATGCTATTGCTGAACATCAGAGCTTTACACTGACACCCACACCTTCATGCCACAGGCACAGGGGAAATATGACTGGCAATAGGGGAAGATTATTTAAAGCTTGTGTCACTTTTGCTCCATTCCAGAAGAGCTTAAATGGTATGTAATTAATGTGCTTATGTGTTCTTAAATATGCAAGTCCATCATAATTAGAAGCAGTAGCTATATTACCTGTCCCTATTTTATAGTACTCTGACATGCACGTAAGGAACACTTAACTACAACGTAACATTTGGTAGTTTACTGAAATTCCATGTATGTGTTTGTTTTAAATACCATCAAGAAAAATAAAATTTCGGTCCCTGCATTACTTTAATCACAGCATTTTAGATTAAGAGCTGTTCAGTACAGACTTCGTGGGCAATCTATCACAGCATTCCACAGTGACCCACTAAAAGTCAACTTCATGACAAATGGAGAGGAAGGTCTTCAGTGGGGATTTAGGACTGAATAATGAGAACACACATCAAAACAACACATGGGCTCAAATGAATACCGTGGTATTAAAAGACAAGGCAAAAACGTAATAGAAAGTGAAGTCAATTTATGTATACAGCTAAAGATCTGTGCTAATATGTTAGGCAGCTTCATTGATGTCAGCCAAAAAGCATGGCAAATTATGGGTAATAATTGATGCCATTTATTCAATGCAGAAGAAAAATACAAGTGCTTCAAAAGCTCAATAACTCTGTTGGCACAGAGAAACCAGTGATGAATTTTATAAGGTTTCCAGCCATCTTAGAACTGAGGTTCTGGAACAGTCTTTGGACAGACATGAACAACCTACTTAACTTTAAGAGCAAAGCAAATAATTTGACATGAAATTATGTAATGCTGTGGACTTCGGGCAATTACTAACCCTCGAGAAGGCTTCTTAAAGTCTGTTCAACCAGAACATGGCCAGTTTAATCTCAAACATCTGTTTCTCGTGTGTAAAGTTAACTTGAAAAAATCCCAGACTAAAATACCAGCACTTTCTATTAGTGCATTTTTTTAAAACATAAAGATCTCATCTTTTAAAATAATTAAGAATTTGAGAGCCTTGTGAAACATATACCAATTTCCTTACTGTTTCTTAATTCTTCCTGTGGATAACAAAGAGCTTCAGAATTGAGAGTATTTAAATATTCTTCTGTGCTCCACTTGCACTGGCTTACCAGTATTTCTCTGCCCTTTATCCTTGTTATGTCACATTTGAAACTTTTGGGGCAGGAATCATATACTGCTAAACCCCATAGGTATTCTCAAGTGCTGCAAAACAACACAGGGATAGTCTCACAGTGACTGTGTTTGTAGACTAAGCATCATCTCTCCTCCAATTATGCTGATTCTTTTTATTGCTATTTATTCTGAACCTTCTACATTTGCAGGAATTCAAATTGCAGACAAGTGTGCTGATAACCACTGCAGCCACACACTTGCCATATGAAATCCACTCACTCATACATTCATTCCACAACAGTAGTACCTCACCCACAAGATCCTTGCATTTTGCCACTCATGTGCCTTTTTTCCTACATATTTCTAATTTTGTGTAATTGGAGTTGTCTCTTCCATAATGAAATTCAAGGAATTTCACACAATCTGGAAAACCAATCTGACTTCCTGAATAGTGTGTTAATTTCTATTTAGCTCATAAAAACATCCAATTTTGACCTTAAAACTTCTTCCTAGAAGAATCTCCTTTAAACTTGTAGTACTGGTGTCTTTGGGAGGTTGCTTGATTCCTCCAGTTTGAAATTCTCCATGAGCCACGTTGATCCAAACATTGCCCATGAACTCATTCAGCTGATTAGTGCCTATGTCCACAATGGAATTGTTTCAAAAGTTCCATCTAAGTATAATTAGGATTTTTCAGGCCACAACTAAATGGCTTGATGACTTGGCTTTATTGAAAAGTACTGTTTGCTCATGCCCCTTATCCTAAATTTTCCAGACCACTCTACATCACTGAACTCTTTGCTATTCACTGAACCTCATGTTCTTTGCAAATTTCTGCAGTTATGACTTTGTGGTGGATGTTTAGACCACTGACTAAAAAAAACTAAGAGGTTTAATGACAGACTCTACAACAAAATGGTGTAAAACTACTAAAAACTGACCAATGTGCTTGGTACTTACTCACCTACACCTGTGTTTTGATATGCATGAAGCAGACTTTAAAGTCCACTTAATAATGTTTGGAATGGTGACTTTGCATCATTCCATTTTATCTAGTTTGCATAGAAATACATCAACAATTAAAATTTTGATCCAGGGCAAAATCATCTACTTGTAAGATGATGTCTGTCACATTGCTCTGAGAGCACTTTTACACGGACATTTTTCCATAAATGGGATAAAGACACATTTTTACCATGAACAGGAGATCCTTCCTCAGCAAACAGATAAGGTTCCAGATTCTTCAGAGAGCCTCTGCCCTCGAGTCGCGCCAGCAGCTTTTAATGACAAGAGAGAGAGACACACTGTTAACTCAAAATAATGGACCTAAGGAATAAACCCTAAATCTGACAGTTTTCCATGACAGCCCTATATCAAAAGATTAGCCTGATTTTAAAAATGTTTTCAAAAATACACGTGGAAACATATAGTCTGGACTACAGGCGGTTCCATCCTCACAAACAATGAGCACACGGATTCAATGGCAATGAGGAGTGGATATATTAGGGGAAATAAAAGCTTAAAAAGAAAAGCTGCACAGGTAGATTAGCAAGAGGGACTGCCTCTGGTACACAGCAGTGCTGCCACTGGGAAGAACAAAGGGAAAGAAGATCATTTGTAACAACCACCACCTTCACAAAAAACTACTGGTTGAGAGGTGAAACCTTACCCATTATCAATCTCCTGAGTCAGTCCCTTTGAGTATTTTTAAGTAAAACCATGTGCATTTCACCTGAAAAGTTACACAGGACTCCTCTGGGCTGCAATCCTATTATATCATAGTTACTTGTTCAAACAGAGTATGGATTAAGAATGATCAAAAGTAATTAGTCACCAGTGGCCCTGCAAGAACCTTTCTAAAGCAAGCTTGAATTTGTAAAGCATGTTCTCCAAAGCCCCTTGTAAACCAAGACCATTGTAAAACAAATTAGTTCAAAGTTCATGGACAGTTTCTTAAATGGAGAGGTATTTGCATAGCAAGTAGACAGGTATTCACATAACCTGTGTTATTAGTAATTCTAGTACACTGCATAAACCAAGAACTAACATTTCCCCCAGTACCAGAGCTGTTATTCCCCACATGTATTCCCTACACATGAGAAAGGACATTATTGGGATACTCAGTGTCACCAGAGCACGTACCCTGGTGCCAAATACTTCATTCTCCAACACGCCCAGTTGTCATTTAACGATCTGAACAAAACAAATCCTGTTCAGCTTTATCCCATCCTCCTCAAGACCAAACCAGCAGTAAGCACACACCTTTAAACACCTGCTGCCTTCTCTTGCTTTCCTCTATGCCACATCCACAAGCAACACTTGCTCTGAATTGTCTTAACAGTTTTTTAAAGAGTTGTGTTTGCCTTTCATAGTAGAATAAAACTCCATTAAATGGCCCTGAATTTACTTCAAGTGGTCACGATGGGAATGTGTGACGTTTTCATTGACATTTTAATGGTCCCTTCCATTAACAAAATGTCAGCATGTTTGCCTTGGCCCACTCACACCTATCCAGGAGAGTTTTCTGACTCGTCCACTGAAGGGCCAGAAAAACACTTGAATTGACCTTGCTCTGGCACTGTGGATCCTCCCAGTACATTTCACATATTTGTGCAGCACAGAAAACACTCACATGGTGAGCTCTGGAGTATTTTGGGAACCAGTAGGGTTCTGTGACCCAGACAAAGGAAAAATCCAAATGGACATATGTACACAAGAATACAGGAATGTATCTTGGGACATATAAACCAGATCTCAACTACCAAGAAAGACCCTACATGTGCAGCTCTTCTGTGCAAGCAGCTGCCAGTGCCTGGCCCTGGCCCCTGGCTAGAAGGGCTGGGAATTCACCCCCTCATCCAGCAGTGGGAGTTGAGAGAAAGAGGAAAACCACCACAGGCTGCTGCTTGCTGATGCTCTTTGCTTCTTAGCAGAGGAAGCACCTCTCCAGCACTCTGGGATAACAAGGGGCTGGATCACGGGCACTGCTGGGTCCAGGAGTCACAACTATTGCTGGGCTAAACACATTTCTGCAGCCTCCTGCTCCTAAATTTATTTCTACATTAACAAATACATCCCCTGTAGTTTATTTCTTCTGAAACAATGAGCCCATGTCTCCTCTTAGACTGTCACCTCTTAAAGCTTACTGCCAGAGCTTTGGAAACACATGGTAGATTGATGGGCATCATTTAAATATGAATCTGCAGTTATTTAAATGACAAGTTTATATATTAATTTTAAATAACTACAGGTGCTTACTCTGAGCACTGCTCATGTAGGTAATTTATGGTAATTTGCTGATGATAGTGCACCTGTGTTTTTATCAAACTTGTATTTACTTCCGAGATCTGAAGCAGAATCTCCAAAGGCACTTGCCTCATTAATGTCGTGCTGGGAGCAACGGGGTTCCTGGCAGAAAGAGGAACAATTTTCCTTCAACTCTCACAAAGGTTTGTCCACACCAGAGCAGAAGTGATGGAGGCGAAGCTGAGATGAGGCTCCAGACAGGCAATCCCCTCACCTTTGCCCGCATTCCAGGCAGGGACAGCACAGGGCTTTCCAAATCGGCAAAAGCCACCCTGGCTCTGTTCCAGGGCAGCATTTCCATTTTGCCTCCCCACATATTCATGTGTAAAATGAGGAGGAGGGGAAATCTACAGGATTTAAAGGTTAATCTGGAGGGTGAACATCAGGTGTCCCAGGCTTTGCCACAGACGCTGTACAGCACACAGCACTGCAGAAGAGAGTTTTGAGTTGGAAGGGCTTGGGAAAAAAACCCCAAGGCAATATCACTTATGTACTAGAGATTTCAGATTCCATAATCTAACTGCAGATGCTCATTTATTCTTTCATAAGCCTCTTTTCATCTTCTTTTACACAAAACACCACCTTTTAGCAACCTGCTAGTGGTAGGTCTTCACTCTTAGGTGTTCTTCAAATGTAATTATGCCAGCAAGAAACTGCACATCTGTGCAGTCACGTGTAGAAAACAAGTTATACAGAAGAGTCAGACAGCAGGTAGGTTAAATTTCATTAATGACAACGCTGATGGGACTCAAATATTTCAACTATGCCTTTTATAATTTATCAAATTTTTAATAAACAAATATGCATTTGGACAGCCCCACTGACTAATACATGATGTGCTTATGCTTTACTGGTTTCAACAGAGCTATGCATAAATGGAAGAACACATGTAGGTCTTGTCAGGAATGAGAGATTACTTCATTAAAATGTTAAAGAAATTCAAATCAAATACTCCAGCTCTGTTAGAGGCTGTGAGCTAACCTACAGGCTGTTTACACATACAAACCTATCTTGAGTACGAGACAAAACTTAATTTTCAACCACTATAACCGCTCTGACTGAGCTTTTGTAAACTTTGGGCATGAAGACATATGCAAGCAATTTATCATTAATTTTACTGTGATACACCAAAGGTGTTTTGTGAGAAGTTCTAATTTGTCGTATTAATTATATTGAATAATAAGAGTACAAGACTGTTGTTCCAGGATAACCTGATCTTATATGCAGGAGGCTATTTGAGGAAGTATTGTTTTAAATTAAGTGTTTTCTGTTTCAAGGGCTTTTACCATTTTTTTTCTGGACCATGTATTCATACATTAACCATTCTCAACCCATCGGTTATCAGTTCCTCCCTCGGTCCAGGCTGGCTATCCATCCATTGCAGCCAGTTGATGCCATGTGTATTCCCTGCTGGCACCACTCCATGGATAAATAAATGCATTCACCCCCTTGGACATAGCACAACTCATGTCCTTTATTCATATCCATTTGCTGATAATGGGCATCTGGTACTATTTTTTTTTTTATGAGTGTCAAAAGGGCTTAAGAGCCACTGAAAAAACATGGAGATTTATCAAGAAATAAATATTACCACATATTTCTACGTTTCTATATGAACTATTTGATGTATTCTGATAGTTACACACAAATCTCCAAGCAATTAAGTTGATGATGGCAAGTGGAAGTTTCTAACAAATACGCCATCCAGCAGGGAAAAAAACCCCAAACCAAACCAAAAACAAAGGCAACAAACCCCCGAACTCAAACCCTTTTTCTCCTAAGAGCAGGAAAGCAATTCCACGTTCCGTACTCTTTACTTACAGAATCATAGAATTGCTAAAGCTAGAAGAGACCTTTAAGATCACCAAGTCCAAACGTTTAAACCAAACCTTCCTCAAAGCCCTTCTTCCTTAGGCACCCACTCTCGGGATGGGAGAGCGAAGGGAACATTTACAAAGAATTCCCGAGACACCCGACCCGCCTGCCCCGGCGCCCACCCGCATCCCCACACAGGCAGGGCAGGGACGCCCGGGACCCTGATCCCGCCTGGAGCCGCTGCCACCCACGGAAACCCTCCATGGAGCCCTCCAGGCGGCCTGAACTCTCCCCCGCTCCTTCCCGCACACCCCGGCCCTTCGGGAGGCTCCGCGGGCGCTCCCCCAAGGGCGCTCTGGGGAGCGCCCGGCGCTTTCCCCCTCCCCCGGCTGCGGCCTCGCCCTGCCCTCCCCGCCCGGGCCCCGCGGCTGAGGGGGCCGGGGCGGGGGCGAGGGCAGCGCCTCACCTGCGTGCCGACTCCGCCCTGCGGGGGCGCGTCACCCATGGCGGGCTCAGGGGCCGCCGATCCCGATCCCGGTCCCGATCCCCGCCGCCCCGCAGCGCCCCCGCCCGGCCGCCCCGTCTGCGCCTGCCCGCGGCTCGGCCCCCCGGGGGGCGCGGGGTGGAGCCCCCGTCTGAGGAGTCGCGGTTCGGTCCCGCCGCGGGCTTCTACTGGCGGCCACCCGCCTGCCCATCCTACGTGGTTTGGGATTCCTTGGCTAGTGCAGGGAGAATCACAGAATCAACGTGTGAATAGACCTCTGATACCATCGAGGCCAACCTATGACTGAACAACACCATGTCAACTAGACCATGTGGCACTCAGTGCCACATCCAGTCTGTCCTTAAACACCTCCAGGGATGGCGACCCCACCACCTCCCTGGGTAGCCCATTCCTATGTCTAATCACCCTTCTGTGAAGAAATTCCTCCTAATGTCCGACCTAAACCTCCCCTGGTGCAACTTAAGACCATGTCCTCTCATCCTGTCACTGGCTGCCTGAGAGAAGAGGCTGACCTGCACATCAATGTGGCTGTTTATTTATTTTAAGGATCCATCTTTTTATAGGTTTTTGTGGGATTTTTTTCCTGCTCCTGATGAAATGGGGCAGGTGGCTGGGTTGGTGTGACTCAGAGGATGCTCCTCTGTGACACTGGGGTAGCTGTGACTCAAGGGAAGCTCATTCGCGTGGCCGCAATTAAACTCTTGACGCCTTGGAATCTTTGCCAAAGCCAGCTATCAATTATGGCTTAAATTAAAAGGGATGTTTTAAATATGTCCCTGTAATGAACTGGGCTTGTGTGGTGTGTGACACCCTGGGGCAGGAGCCGATGTCCAGCTAGTCCCTCATGTCAGCTCTGTGCTCGCGGCCGGCAGCAGGATCTGCTCCCCCTGAGGACTACGACCTGTCTGCTGATGTTGTGCCACCTGGGGAGGCAAGAGGGATGGGCACAGGGAAAGCATGGGAGAACCAGTTTGTGTTTTCCATAGGCTAAGTGCAAAACCAGCAGGATAAGAATAGCAGCTCCCAGTATCTGCATATCAAAGAGCTGTGAAGATATGATCTCTTTGGGTCTACAGAGGTTATCGGTGATACTGCACGTCCTTACAGTTACAAGGAGAAACTGGTGGTGGAGTTCTCTGTTCCTTCAAAGAAATCACGTTTGCCTATATGAAAGAGTTTCTATTGGCTTGGTCCCGAATGCACCACAATCAGAAAATCTAACCTCAGATGCAAGGTGTCATCTTTGTTTACTCTTTCAACCCTTTTTAAGCCCAAAATACACAGCTCCAATTGAGAACACCCTTTTGTTGCCATCTGACTAATTCAGGTTTCAGATGAATGCTTCCAGCCAGATTTAACCCAAGTCAAAGCCCTACTTTAGAAGTCCAGTCCTAATTCTGCTCATTACAGTACAGAAGGGAGATGGTCTCTCTGCACAGCTGTAGTAGCCTTTCTTCTTTTCTGTGTATGGATACACATGCAAAATTATCAAGAGCATGGAAGGTGGTTCTCTACTGATATAGACTTGGATGGCTGCGTGGAGGGGACACATGGCACAAAAATGGAACTGCAATACTTTTAGTTTAATTGTACTGAAGGAAGTTTCTTTTCTGACAGCATAAAGTACAGACAACTTTAAGAGCTGCACGTCTGACTATTCTTACAGCACCTCAGTGGTTTGGGCCACTGGAAGAGTTCAAAAGACTTGTCAATTAGTAGTGATTGCCCTTGAAGCTGACTGATGAGTGACCTAGCCCAAGGACAGAGTGGACTCACTGTGACTTATGACAAAGGCACTACTCACTGCATCAACTACATTTGGGTTGGTTTGGGATTTTTTTTGATAATTATAGGTTCTTGGTTGCTCTTCTCCTCTAATTAAAGACATTGCACTAATTTTTTAAAAGTGATTGCCACTTGAATTTAGGGCTGTAAAATATACAGCAGAGATAAATGCCAGTTGACTGAAGCCCACTCCTACCTCATTACTTACTCCTGTGAGTATCCCAGTAGGGTTCTATGGAAGCTCTTCTACTGCATGGGTGAACACAGTTTTGCTATTACAGTTTAATGCAAGATGAAGTGTCACAGTTCAATGGAGATCAACCAACATTCAACAGAGAGAGGGTAAAAGCATTGAATTCACCTGAGCAGTAAAAAAAAAAGTATATTTAATTGCTTGAAATAGTAATGTGTTAATCAAAGATACTGGTCACCTTGATAGGCAGATTGCACATCAGCAGTCAGCACTGCTGGCATCTTACCACATTTTGTAATATTTTATCAAAGCTGTCTATGTATTTCTCATTTTTCACCTTTGTTGCTGTTGTTTATTTTCCTCGCTGCACAGTAAACCTCTGCATTGATCTTACTCCTTTGGAGAAAAACAGTAACATAGGTAAGGAGGAAAACCCTTTACTATTGGTTTCAGCAGAGCCGGGATTTTAATTGCAACCCTTTATTTTTGTGGGTTTGGGGTGGGCTTATCTATCTATCTATCTATCTATCTATCTATCTATCTATCTATCTATCTATCTATCTATCTATCTATCTATCATCTAATTATTTAATTCTGATTAATTCTTTCATATTTTTCTGTAGCATTTCTCTCCAGGTGTACAACATCCCACCTATTCCTTACTTTTCCTTCTTAAATAGCAGAAGCCTCCTTAATAAGTAGCTCATAGTACCCAGGGTCTCTATGCCCCAGCACACCTGTTTCTACAGGCAGAAAATTAGTCTTCCTTTGTTTGGCATGTGGGGAGCCTGAGGGTGCCCCTTGAGCCACAGGCACTGCTCTTGTAGCAATTCAGCAGCAAGAGCAAGGACTTTTCTAACAGCAGAAAGATCAGACTCTAGGGGTGAGCATTTCTGTCTTTATGAAATGTGTATTCTGGAGAAAATTCCTCTTTCCTGACCTTGATTTTGAACATTTCCCACACTGTATTTTCCACTGCATGTGTTTAAGACCTTCATCATAG